AGATGCACAGGCAGCCTTGTTCGACCAGTTAGAAAAATCGGTGGCCACATTGTGGCCTGCCTTATGGCCTTATCAGAATCGGGAGGGTCCACAAGACCCATCAATTCCATATCTCTTCCCCTCACCTCTCCCGTTTCTACTTTGTTCTCTTACAACTATCTCACCATCACTGTCAACAAACACAGAAGCTATATCGTATCACCACAGAGCTTTTAACCCCAGAATTCCCGCTCTTCTCCTTCATCGAACTCATTTCAGTTCTAACTTCTACTCTTCGTCGCACATAAATCTCAGCGAGACTTGAAATTCGTCGGTCGCTGCCCTCCCGCCCCTCCATACCAACCTCTCCCAAGAGACCCCGATAAACTCGAGTTTATGTCAATCGAAAATCTCAAGTCCTACGGTGCGTTTGCACTTCTATCATCATTCCCATATTTCATTCCATGTCGAGCTCTTTCGACGCAGCATTCCATCGAATACGCGATAAAGCTGCCGTGGGGGCAACGCCCGTGCCACCATTCCCTGAGCTTCCACCCCTCTATTGACTTGGAGCAATCGCGCAGACGCTAACATGAGGCAATGTAGACCCCTTCGCCGAAGCCGACGAGGCTACGGGGAACACCAACGCGCCGCCGAAAGACATTCACATACGTATCCAGCGTACGTTCTCGTGCTTCCTTATCTCGGTGCCATCACGTGCCCTCTTTACCGCCCTCCATCAGCTCCCTTGGCCCACGTCATCGTAAAACACGTACTAACCTTGTCTTACCAGAGCGTAATGGACGCAAGACCCTGACCACCATTCAGGGTATTCCCGACAATTTTGACTATAAGAAGATCTTGAAGGTCATCAAGAAGGAGTTCGGTATGTCTCTCTGGCCCTCACCCGTGGCTTACGACAAAAGACTGACCTTATCTGTAGCTTGCAATGGCACCATCATTGAGGACAAGGATGGTGATGTGATCCAGCTCCAGGGTGACCAGCGTGTCAAGATCAAGGAGTTCCTCGTCGACAAGGAAGCAGGCTTAGCCATGGATGCCAAGAGGGTCAAGGTATGCACACCAACAACCGACTGGGTTGTGCTGTCTCGTGTTCTTGTTGCTAACATCAATTCAGGTCCACGGCTTTTAAGCCCGGACGTCGTGTCGTGCCGCTACGACGGTCGTCATCATGCAGCGAGCTCGTGACGCCGAGTGTCACTAAGGATAAACCTCTGTGACGTGAGTGACGAGAACCTCTGGAGGAGTCCAGTGGTACAATGACACGATACCCCATAGCTACTTTTATCGGATTAAGGATTTTGTTTGCGGATACGGATCGCGTGCTTTGGGTTGGGTTGCCTTGAAGGCCTGAATGAATGACCACAGCTTGCACACAACTCGTTATGGTATTTACGCAGTACTTAAGTTTAGGCAATGCATTCCTCTGGTAGATTTCACTCGTTACCTGGTTGTGACTGGCTGACGTCATTGTGTGCCTGTATTTTGACTAACTCGTTGAAAAAGGGGTATCTAAAGCAGAGATAAAAAGCGCTAGTCGCAATCGCCGCCCACTGGTGAGATGCATATGTAAAGTTTACAGTTCTCTTGTAACATTGCTGTACTCCATGACCTTTAACGCCGCCTTGTTAAGCTCGTGCCAGGCCGTCTTGGTGAAGGTCATCAGAGGTATGGCTGGATAGTCGGAGCGATTTGAGTGCAGCTGCGCCAGCAAGGCGACCATGCTGATGAAACTGGCGATGGAGAAGACGCTGATGGACATGGATGTCTCCTTGCGGATGTTGATCTTGCGCTGCGTCACATGATACATGACTGTCAGGGTCTATATTGGTTGTTCATGTGACGTCAGTGTTGATCTTGAGCATGTGCAAGCGCCGTGCATACACAAAGAAATGAGGGGTCTATCACACTCACAGTCGAGATTCCTATCCAAGCCGGCAGGAGCAGGCGGGGATCGGCCGAACCGCCTGTCAGGTAAAGGACCCACGAGGTCAGGTAGCCGTTGAGAGCGTTGATGGTCAGGAGGCGAACGAGCGTTGCTTGCGGGGTGTAATTGAGGAGCCTGCGGCCATCCGTATCAGTGCTGTCCACCCCCGTTCTTGGCGCGAAAGGGAAGAAGAGAGCTTACCACCGAGACATGAGACAATCTGTAAAGAAAAAGGAGAGATATGCCGATGCGCCGCACTGTTCTCTCGCCCTGCATAAGCGTAGTCCCCACAGCCCGTGTGTCCATTTCTGAAGAAGCATACCCAGATGGTGGCAAGCAGAGTCTCGGTGAGCCGTAACCTGGCCTCAAATGACATGTCGCAGTTGCTGCTTCCCCCCATTCCTCCTAAACTTGACAACCCGCTCCACCCTCCGCGCTCAGAGAATACCATCAGATGCAGCGACGCCAGCAGCCGGAGGCCACTAGGGAAACCCCACCAAATCGCAGGAACGGTCGAGAGCAGTCGGCAGGCAAAGAGGAGTGGGTGCCAGGTCTCGGAGACGCCCAGCACGACGGCCACTCGGGGCTGCAGTAAAGAGGACTGCGCTGTCACCGCAGAAAGGGCCTTTTCCTTGTCCTTCTTGATCTTCTTGCCATTCTTGCTCAGATTGCTGTTCTCGTTGTTATTGTTCTTCCCCTGGCCATTCCGGTCGAAATTCCCGACGTCGCTATCGTCAAGATTGGTTCGTTTGCTGCTACCTCGAGCGTTGCCGTCACTGTTATCGTCGCCATCGCTGTTACGAAGGGGAGGATACTGAACGTGGTTGTTGTTGCTATCAGCCCGCCGCTGTGCGGTTGTCCTCGCTCGGTTGGACATCAAGAAGATGCCCTTCCTTCCCCATGGAGTAAAGGCAGAGACGAAAAGGAGTTTATAAGCAAACCCAGGGTGGGAATAATAAGAGAGCAGACGGTGCACAAGAAGTGTCAAATGTCGAAGCAGAATATCTGGTCTCCGGGGAAATGTGCGTTTTATATAGTTACGTCAGTTGCTAGGGATGGCAGGAATGACGGCGCAATCTTCTAATTCGCACTCCCAGCAACCCTTGAAGCCACAAAGCTCCAATTCCCCTCCCACTAAGGGAAGTGAATTGCGGCTTGTGATTGGCCACCTGTACCAATAGCTGCACGGCTACGCTAGACTGTGGGGATGTCGTGGTATGACCCGCGACCCGCTTAATTTTTTGGAGCTTGTCGAAGGTTTTGCCGGTTCCCACGAGGCTGTCAGGAACCTTCAGGCAGATCATGGTTCACGAGGGCTGCCACTGTCGAATGAGGTAGCTGCGAGTGCGCATATAGCGGAAGGCTCTTCAAAGTTGCACACTTAACACGGGAGCTAGACCGACACAGCGAGCGACGAACCGGCGCGCGAACGATCATACGCAATCGGCCATGGCGGCCACCAACAGATTCATCGGCCTACGGGCGGCGGGAGGAGGCGTCAGTTTGCTATCGACTGCTGCTACCAGCAGGATAAGAACGAGGGTCTTTCCGTTGGCAGTCGTAAACTGGGCAGGCGTCACAGCCAACTCAGCGATGCCAGCAGCTCGTCAGCCATTCTCGGTATCCGCGCACGCTGCGAGAGGTGCCCAGTTCCGGGCCGGAATCAACCGTGCCATGACAGGCACGAGGGGCACATCACCGTCGCCAAAGACAGAGACAGCCCGGCGACAGCAACAAACAGGCGTCGAGCAGTCCTCGGCGGCAGTCTCGATTCTGCTTCCGGGTAGGTCGCATTGAGAAGGCTCGCCCATAACTAAGAGATGTCATAACTAATGGGCGGTCTGCTTGACAGGAACCTTTGTGCGGCCACCGCTATCACGCTTCCCCCGCGGAGCAAAGCCCTTCTTCCGGTTTCTCTACGAGTTTCTGCGCGTCAAGTTCATGGACGCCGTCCAGGTTCCCATCTTCAAGTACACATCCAAGCCGAGTCTCTTCAGCCGGGCGCTCTGGAAGCGCAACAATGCCAATGTCGTACTGACAGCCAAGGCGCTGCACCGGCAAATGTCGGAGGCGCTGGCCGTCGGAGACAAGACGGCCTTGCACAAGATCTGCGTCAGCCAGCTGCTGACGCCTTTGCTGGGCACCATCGACGCCCGCCCCAAGGGCCGCCGCTACGGCTGGGAGCTGGTTCGCTATAACCAGTCCTGGTACTACCCGCGCATCATGTCCCACAAGATTCTCGCCGCTGCGGACCCCAGCATTCCCGACAGCCCCTACATCCGTCAGGTTGTCGTGGCCATTGCTAGTCGCCAGCGCCGGGTCGAGTACGACGACAGCCCTCGGGGGGGTGGTCGCGTCGTGCCGGGAAGCGAGAAGGAGGCCGACTTGGTTGAGAACGTGGTCTTGACGTGCACCATCAACCCCCACACCTACGCCCAGGACGAGTGGCGCATCTTCGGCACCGTCAAGAACACGACGCCGGACGACTGGGAGACCGAGAAGCTGCTGGTTGAGAACCTCGATAAAGACGAGCTCGAGAAGTACAAGATATAACGAAGTAGGTGTTGGTCATATGACCAGTACACAAAAGCTTAATCATGTATTACCCACCTGTATCAAGACACATATAGACTACTCATGGCAGTCACCTTCATTTCGAGAGAATGTGCTCTGGCATTAACCTGCACGATGGAGATCAAGACATTCCGGCACGGCGTCTGTGTTTACGAGCTGTGCATCGTTGATCGACATCGACCTCAGTAGGGCGACGAGCGTCCGGGGCTGAACATGGAGGGTTGTCATTGATATGCGAACTCGAGCTGCACATCGCAATTGACTCCATTGACTGAGTTGTTACTGTCCGTTGAACTTGAAACCGTGAGTGATGGGTAGGGCGGATTGGTATGTACATGCGGGTGGCAAGGCGCAGTTCATAACAGGCTACCTTGAGCAAAGAGGAGGATATGATTACATTTAAATGTGTATGCTACACATTTACGTTTCCTCTACACATCACTACGCGGGGGGGGGAAGAAATTGCAAAAAAAGCAATTTGACTGACAGCATGATTGGATGCCCTCTAACAGAATTGAACTGCTGACCTCATCATTACTAGTGATGCGCTCTACCACTGAGCTAAGAGGGCTGAATGTGACTGTGATTAGATACCTGTTTTCGTCGAGGTTTTAGCTTATAACGTCTCTCCACTACTTCTGGCCCACTTTGGCTTCTGGACCGCCACAGACAGCCATTTCAATTACCAGCAACCATAGTAACAAGATGAAGCCGGCCCTTCAACACCACAACTCTGTCGCATCCAGTCTGCAACGACTTTACAAGATACTTTAAAGTCTGCTGTATCGTTTACACCAATTTTAGAAGCACTGCGTAACCGTTACGGGCATATAACGCAGTTAGTAACGTTAAGTCTATTTTCCACACTTGTCACTTATACCAGCACTTACATCCACATCACCATGCCACTAATCACGACACAAGCCGGCTCTACAACTAACTCTACACCTTCCAGTCCGACCTAAGAAGACCGAATCCAAGCCGCGATTAAAGCCCTGCACGCAAGCCAAGTCCCTACTTTCCGACAAGCTGCAAAGCTCGTCGAAGTCCCCAGGACTACTTTATAAAGACGATTCCGTGGCGAGCCGGCTATAAGAGACTCAATCCATAAGAGGAGGAATCTATTGTAAAGGCTGTGTGCCAGTTGGATACGTAGGCTAGCTAATAAGCATTGTTACTATAATCAGGAAGGGAGACCTAAAGCCCCTTAGTTATAACTGGTGTTACAGCTTCTTATATGGACACGAAGAGCTTTGGAGTCGGCGTCCTAGAGCCTTAGACCAATCACGCCCCGATGCCGTTAACTATAAGACTCTACAACACAGGTTTAAGCTCTCCTGTAACAGGTTTAAGCTCTACAGGTCTATTACGTTAGCACAAAGACCGGGAATAGGTCTCTATCATTAAGTGTATCTTAGCTAACGGTTACCTCGTGCAAACAAAGGAGGCCTGCGTTGTATGGGAAAGGTAAATTTGCAGCGATGGTTTGGAAGGAAATGCCTGTATCTTATGACCTTATTAACTAGTTGTAAAGACTATTTTAGTTGTGTGACTCTGTTATAGACTCTGTTGTAGACTCTGTTGTGGCTGGTTTTTTGAGCTATTTTTGGTGGTCCAGAAGATAATGTGGGCCAGAAGTAGGGGAAAGACGTTATAGGAAGCACTCAATAATAACGGAACCGCATCTCTCAGTTGTTTTCATCGGCAGTTCACTCGTTTCAGCTTGCTAGCACAATCTGAGGATGGGATATGTGGTCCACGGCTTCATTCAAAGACTATCATATACACGGAGAGATGATGGTATGGGTCATTGCACGCGCGACGATAATTACCGCTCAATCTGCCCTTTACTCTGCATGTGCAGCACGAGTGAATCCCGCGAACCCCCTTGGAACATTGAAACAACGAAACAAGTCACAGCACCTATTAGTTAGCCACCCAATCTACTTCATCCGAGATCCTTCGAGTTCTGTAGCTGCAAACTGCAAATTTGGCTTTTCTCACTAGTTATCTTTTAAATCCCCTACAAATGATGGAGTTTTAATACGCAAGTATTTCCTAGTTGTAAACTACACGTTACCACGCCGAAAACAAACATCCAAGGAGACTTGCAAGAGTAAGGGGGACTTATATCCCTTGAAACAAACCGGTTCGAGACTTGCAGTCGGCGGTTATCTTCACCGGAAGATATTAATTAGTGTGGATTTAACAGGGTCTTTGTTCACTTGCCCGTGGTTACTGGGCTTAAACAGACTCCGGGAGTACAGACTGGCACTCGAACTCAGGGGCAGCGACAGCCACACAAGGGAGGATACAGACGCAGAGCAAACGCAGGAGGGCAGAAGACGCAGACCGCGCCGCATTGGATTCTAACCGAGGGCAAAAACGGAAGTAACACGCGAGTGCACGACGGCCGCGTCACGAAGACGTCAGGGGCTACCTACTCATACAAATAACAGGGAACAACAACCGACACGCGTCACGAGGGCGCAACGACCTATCTACTCCTCCGCCGATCCGGACGTGCCCACGACGCCCTCACCCATACCCGCTTAAGGGCTAACTCGATACACTCCGATCTTTACTCACTGCTCCCGTCACTCTTCCACACCTCCCCCCCTTCCTTTCCTCTTTCCCTCCACTATTCCCTTTCCCTATCTCTGTCTATCTCCATTTCCGCTTCCCCCCTCGGGAAGTACACGCGCAAAGCGCAGACGCAGCGACTTCGCTGCGCCCCCACAACGCCATGCCCCCCTCCCTATAAGGGGCAACCGGCTGCGGAATGCAGCCCTACACGTGACCATGACCACGCCCCGGGATGGGCAAAACACTCTTTGTCTGTCTGTCACTCAAGCTAGGTAGATGAGAGCTGCCTGGTATAACTGGAAAGAGGGAGCAGCGAGAGAGATGGCGCCTCCGTTAACGCGGAGACGCATATACACACGAGCACGCAGGTAGAGGGACCGCGTGCGGCGTAAGAATAATAATAATAAAGCGTCAGGTCACTTAACACCGGTCTCTTACCATTACTTCAGGTTGAAGTAAGTACAGAGAGCACGGCAGACCGCGATACGATCCTAGTAAATCCAGACCTCTTTTCGTTACGGGGAAGAAAAGATTTGATAGTCTGCTTAGACTTCCAGATTCGATGAACGAGCTTTAGTCTCCTTTTGCTTGTGTGATTGCCGTTTCCAGATCCAGGTGCAAGTGGCCTGCAGGTTGTCAGCTCCTACAAACGCTGTCTGAGAGTCACACGAGGTTGGATCATGTTCCAGTGCACTTATTAGTGGTCCTTCTTGACGAAGGGAGAAGAGACCAATTATGATCCCATGCAATATCACCCCTTAAATACTGCTATTAGTCCTCGGGTGGACGAGAAAAAGGACTGTCATAATGGATATTACAACCCGGATCATCACGATCATCACTCCTGATTGGCATTTCCATGCGCCGCCCCTACATGCAAAGAACGATACCGAGTGGCAGAGTCATGTCAATAAATAAGAGTGCTGATAAACAATGTATGCATGTACATACATCAAAATTGGAAACCAGACCAGACGTCGCCTCCTGGACAGGTGTAGCTGGTAGCCTTGCTCGAGTAGATGTCGATCTGATTAATAAATCTCATGATTAGCTTTCCTGCCTGTACTTATAACAACCCATATTATATTAAACGTACCGTAATCCCAGGGTCGCTCTGAGGGGCGTAGACCGGGATGGAGTAGAGCTTGTCGGGCGGGGGCGTGGCGGCGCACTCGGCGTAGAACTGGGGCGTGTCGGACTGGTGCAGGGCCAGGAGCTCGTGGCGGATCAGGTAGTTGCCCGGGGCGAGGTTCTTGGGGATGGCGCTGCTCCACTTGAGGTTCTTGTAGACGATGGGCGGTGCCCCAGTTGTTGGAGGCCAGCTGGGTGCCCCCCCACACGCCCCATCTGGTCGATCTTGAACCAGCCCTTGCCGTCGCCCTTGCAGGACGAGAAGGAGTCCGAGGAGGAGGAGGAGGGCGGGCACCTGTACATCCAGACCATGACGGGCCCCTGCTGGTGCGTCCACTGCTTCCCACACCGCCGTGATGTTCTGGCCGGCCGCGATGGGGGGGTCGAGAGCTGGGCCGAAACTGCCGCCGTTGCAGCGCATCTTGATGTCGCTGACCTGCAGCGTCGGGTTGTAGTCGGGCCAGGGGAAAACTGGATCGTCCTGGGGCTGTTGGCCGGAGCGAAGCTATCATAGCCGGGGTAGTTGGTGCTTGCCGATCGTGTAGCTGGTGACTGCGCCGTGGCCGGCGACCAAGGGCGCGAGCGCCAGAGGAGCCGGAGCAGGGAAGCCGAAACGCATGGTGAAGCAGTGAACAGAGTAGACGGACTGAAACTGGCTGCCAAGACCAAAGTAAAGGGAGGGAGGTTCGGGAAACACAACTTGCTACCTCCTTATAGTCCGATGTTCGAAACTAGAAAGGAGGCATCCCGATGCCCGGGTCGGGACATATTACACAGGCACTGAACCGTCCCACGGTTATCTCGGCATGGGCCAGCTGCCAGCTTGGCAACCGAAGGGCTACCCGGTTCGCGTGATGACGGCCTTGTTGGCAGGCAATATATTGACATGAGCAGGTATTTTGTCTTCTGCCCCCTCATCATCCCAATAGGAGGTCACACTGCATGGTCATCCGTACGGAGAAGTATAGTGAGAGACCAACGCCCCCATCAACACCCACCCGCGGGTTGCGGTCCCAATGTGGCATACGGCAGGGAATAGACTGCCACAGGTGGGATGATGTAGATTGACACGGAGGAGGGAGGTTGCTTAACTGTACCTCGTGGGATCATTCAGAGACGCGGATCTCTAGATGAGCAGAAGATACAGACCAAGTTTCCGAGATGGACCGATTGGGACAATACGAAATGAACTCCCTCCGCACAAGTTGATGCTCGTTGACACTTGCCAAGCCCGTTTCTGGCACGGCGGCAGCGTGGGGTCCGGGGAAAGTATCTGGGGTTGGCTGATTCACAAGCGACTGTAATATAAAAGGGTAGCAGGGTCTCGTGTAAAGTGCTATAAGATACGTGGCCGGGGAGCCAATAGCATGGTACGGGTTATTCAGGATAAAAGAAGCCTGTAGATTGGGCCAGGTTCGATCGAGTACATGGGGAGCGCGATGGCTGCAGCCGAGAGATCATGGAAAACTAAAGAAACAACAGTGCGAGTCGTTGCGTCATCTGACCTGCTTGTAGTGTGCTTGCTTGTAAGTCTGCGCCAAGGACGTGATTTCAGCTTGCTAGGACACCGGCTTGGCAACAGTTCCGCAAGATTAGCTGTATATACTAAACTGCTCGGACTAGTCGGCAACAGCTTCTTGCCAGAGTCCACGCAGGTTCCTCCGACTGTTGTACAGCGCCTCTCCGTTCCGGATCTCAAGACACCACAGCCCGGGGCCCTGTCGCCAAAAGACCCTCAACCGCCCGTCTACAGTAGCACCGAGCGCCGCTGGCTCTTCCGACACTTTCAACGCCCCCCTGACGGTGTCTAAATCCGCTACCGGATCGATGCGCCGTGAAGACATGTCTACTCGG